GGGCGTTGCGGGGCGCGGGGCGGGGCGCGCGTGAGGGGCGCCGCGGGTCCCGCCCTGCCCCTCCCCCAGCCGCCGCGGCGGGGAGGAGCGCGGGGCCGCGGCGCGAGGGCGGCGGGTCGCCGGCCGCGTCAGCCCGGGCGGCGGCGGCGAAGTTTTGACAGCTGCTCCAGTTGTTGTTGTGGGTTCCGGGCTGCGCGAGCGCCGGCCCCTCAGCGCCCGCGCTCCGGGCCAGGAGGAGGAAGTTTTGCGGGTGTGCGTGTGCCACACACAGGCGCACACTCACGGCCGTGGCCGTCGCGCGAGGGCCGCGCCGGGTCTCCCCCGGGCGCCCCGCACCACAGACCTCTCAAACTCGCCGCCGTCTCGCCCACACACAGCCGCCGCGACGCCCCCGCCCCGACGCCCCTTCCCCTCCCCTCCCCTCCCCGACTGCTCGGCCCCGCCGCCCCCCGCGCGCCACCGCTGCCACTCACAGGGCTCGCTCCGCGCATGCGCCGCCCGCGGACGCGCCGCCGCCGCTGACCTCACCGCCCCTCCCCCGCCCCCGCTCCCTCCTCTTCTGACGCGGCGACCCCGCCGCGCCGAGACTCCGGCTCCGGCTCGGGAGAGGGCCAAGCTGCGGACCGGAGTCCGGGATCGGGGCCGGGCAGTGCACGGCGGAGGCGGGCGAGAGGCCGTGGCGCTCCCGTGACGCCGGGCGGCGGGGCTCGTGCTGCCCGCGCCCCGCACGGCCTGTGCCCCGCGCTGCCCTCCCGCGCGTGGACCGGAGCCCCAGGGGACTTGGGGCTGACGCTCCGCGTGCTGTCGTTTTAATGCGAGTCTATGGAGAAAAAGAAATGGAGCGCAACTTCGTTGCTACGCGATGCTAGTGATAGTTTCGTTATGAGGACTCTTAAAATGATTCAGAAAGGCATACAAAGCCGTCAGGCAAAAAGAACGATGCTGTTTGGAGAACCAAAACGCTGGTGAAAACAATAAAAGCCCGGCAACTTGACTGTAACGTCCAGTGTGTCGTGATGAAGAGACCAAAATCGAAGTATTCTAAGCCACCTCTCACAGTACCTGAAAATGACAAAAGAAAAGGGGCTAGAACTGGAAATCTGAAATACGCACTTTCTCGCGAAGGACAGTTACAAATGTGGAAGTCTGGATTTATTTTTTTACTCTAGTAGGGAGCTAACACTTCGACAAGGCGCTGTTCTGTGCTCTCCTACTCATTAGTGTACAGGAATGAAAAAATAGATTTGAATTGGGAAATACTAAGACATCAACCACTTGCAAAACGATTGGGGTAAACTATCATTTTATAGGCATATACCTTGGCCAGACGCACTGGGCACTTTCTGATTATGATACTTTTCAATCCTCACAGCCCAGTTTCAGTGTATGTTGTGTATGCTGGTTTTTCCAGCTATGTTGTTTGCCTGCCTTCCTCCCAATACCCAGAATATAAACCTGTGTTTCCTATTTAGGCAAAATACAGTCTGATTTCCAGAGCCTATTCTGACTAAAACCATAGTTTTTTAAATGGCTGAAATGAAGTCTGTTGTAAGGTAGTTATTTGAATTCCTTGAGGGCTTCATCCCTGCTGGCTTTTTCAGGTTTCTTAAATTTATAGCCTAAGGAATTGTGAGATTGGGGAGGGCGAAACTCACTTGGTAAATGCAAACTAAATTAAAAGTGTGATTATTATACATAGAAGTAAAACATATACATGACTAATGATATACTTATGAAGTGGCATATTTAAAACTTATTGCTCACCCATTTACATTCCACACACACACACACACACACACACACATTACACTTTTAAATAAAGTACACTCTCAAAAACTGGATTGCTGATACAAATGTTTATGTGTTCATGAAGTGAAATTAGAAGTCATTTCCAACTGTTTTATATGCACAAAATTATCAGGATAATTTACTTCACATACTTCTGAAGCACTTGGGAGAATTTAAGTGTCAGTATATGCAAACTGCAAGTCACTCCTACTGGAGAGAAGTTTTCAAAGGGAACAAATGGGAACTGAGAACAGAAAAGTGGGTAGAGTGACCAGAAAGGTGGAAATAGAGGTTTGTTCAGTAATGTTCCTGAAAAGATAAAAGATGATGAAGGTGAGTCCCACCTTATAACTCCAGTCCTTCGGCTGTGGTGAGCAGACAAGTAGTTGGGGCCTGTTTTAAAAGGACTGACAGCAGGCTGTTTGGCATCAAGTTATCATGGGCAGAGCAAATAAAATATAACCCAGGATGCAGAGGAAGGATTAAGGAATACATGTCAACATAAATAAAGGTTTTCCAAAGGTTTGTCCATCTGTTACGCATATTACACAGCTCTGAAACCACCATGGCAGGCTCAAGTATCTGGAAGGATCAAACAACAACAAAAAATTAGAATGTCTGCTTTCTAATAAGTACATGTGTTAAATATGCATTTTAAAAATATGGTAGATATGCAGCAAAGTGTTACGGGCAACCATCTCTGAAGGTTTAGATCACAGGGACTTTCTATAATATTTTAATCTTTTATAACACATGCAGTATAATCAGAAATGTGTATTAAATATTTAGAATGAGGGTGGCAGATCTCCAACAAAGAAAAAGCTACGTCTTATGAAACTAAGCAAATGAGATTCTCAAAGGGTCTAGCAAACAGGTGACAGTGAATAACAATCCATGGTACAGTACCATTCTTACTAATCAAAGGCCTTTAAATGTCAGTGATGTGGTCTTTAGAGTGCATCTATTCTGCTTTGTTTTAGCAAATGTAAAAATATTTATTAGGTTCTCATACCTTCGCTACTGATGGTTATCCCTCTCTCGTTGCTCTCCCATAAAGTTTTAAATTCTAAAGGGTTTTTAGGAACCAAACTTTTACAGTTGTGGAAGGACCAATGAAAACTTAAATTCCAGATCTTATCATTTCTGTGCTCATATATTTACAAAACTTTACATATTTTTACTTTAAAAGTTATACTTAAAAAGTTGTAGTCATAAGGCTGTCCATTTTTGTCCTTCATTTTTCAGCTTGAAAAATGTTTTTAGAATTTCAATCACTTAAAATTAGTTCATATAATTTAGTCCATGGTATATTTTTAGCTTTAAAAATTCATATTGCTTTATGTAAATTATTTTGTAATGCACACCATGTACCTATGACAGAAAAAGCAAAGGAAGAAACAGAATGAAATAAACCAAATAATCACCTTCGAAAATAATTTGTGTGTATGAGGGTATGGGGCATAATAAGTAGATGTTCTGCAGCACATTTTATATAGATACGAATCTTGCCCTCTAGGGATCTATACTTTAAGCCTGGTACTACTTAACAAGATAAACACAAAAAGGGCAAGCAGGCAACTGAAAAATAAACATGGAAAAATGTACAAATAGAAAGATTAAATATTTACATCCATTGTGTGCAAGACCATAGTTTTAAAAGAAGTGTATCTGGGGATTCAGGGGGAAGGGCAGGGGTGGGAGAATCCAGCAGACAGTGATGTCTATTCAGAAGATGCATAGAAAACATTCTGCCAGCAAGTGTTAGCAGCTTCTAGAAACTCTTCCCACCCCCACCCCACACTTTGGTATGTTCCTCTCCTTTACGGATATACAAGACTACTGTATTAGATTCCTAGGGCCGCTGCAAAAGATTATCACAAACTAGATGGCTTAAAACAAACATGCATTCTCCCACAGTTCTGGTACCTAGAAGTCCAAAATCAAGGAATCGCAGGGGTGGTTCCTTGTGGTAGACTGAGCAAGAATCCGTTCCACCCTCTCTCACCGTCTGGTGGTTGCTCACAGTCCTTGGCCTATGGAGGCATCACTCCAGTCCGTGCCTTCATCACTCCTCGGCCATCCTCCCTGTGCGTCTATGTCCTCACACATCTCTGTGTGTGTGTCTTTCCTCTTGCCAGGATACCAGTCCTACTGGATTAAGGATCCACCCTACACCAGTAGGACCTCATCCTAATTAATTACATCTGCAGCAACCCCATAAGATCATGTTCTGAGGTTCCAGGAAAGATGTGAACAGTCAGGGGATAACATTTAACCCACTAGAACTACCAAACAGCCTGTGTTGATGCCTACCCATCTTAGCAGATCAAAATGTATATGGTTAGAAAATATACACAATAGATTAACTGCATGCAAACTCATCTTCACACAGATAAAAAAGTATTTGCATTTATTTTACACCTAATCAATTTATCGTAAGAATAAATAAAACCAAAGTGAATTTAACAATGACAATGTTCACATAGTTAAAAAGGTAAAACTGAGATTCATAGTTCCTTTGATGGGTTAGTTTGATCTATGTAAAGGTAGGCCCAAAATGTTCAGTCCAAAATGTACTGTTTGGAGCCTGTTTCATGAGGCTGTCATTAAGGGTCAATGATCAGATCCTCGCTTTCCCCTGTACTATGTGGTCAAGCAGGTGAGGATTTCACCACATTAAAGTATATACTTGTACAATGGAAATGGAACCCACAGTCCCATTGAGCACCCAAGTTGAAGTCTAAATTCCTTGGCATGGCTCCCCAGGACTTGGAGAGCCTGGGCCACGCTCCAACCAAAGCTCTCACCTGTTTCCCTCCCTTCCTCCTGGCCCCGAGCGAGCGAGCGCCAGCCCTCCAAAAGCGAGACAACAACAGACTTCATCGGGCTGACACCCCACCCCCTTCCCAGCTGGCCACTTCCTACTTCTTTACACTTCACATCCATCCCTGACCACTGCTCTCTCCCTGGGACAGTGGTTATGGCCCCGGATGCGTCTGTGACGCTGTCCTTCCCCCCTCACAGTGCTCAGCCTGTAATGAATTGCCTATTACCCTAAGCCCAGTGGAGACAGCTGTAGTCATTTGCCCTCTTTACCTTTTATTTCTATGATTCAGCAACAGCACAATTAATAGTTGTAGAATAGTGAAATAAATGGGAGAAAGTAGGTTAAGTGTAAGAAAAGCTAAGATGATCCTTTACAGGAGTGTTTCTCTTTTAAAAAAAGAAACTATAAACTATACATACATGCATACTTTGCTACATTTTGTATTGGTTGTTACACCTTACATACGTATAAAGTAACAGGCAAGTCATCTTTGCCCTCCAGAACCAGCATTCATTACGTGACACTCTTTCAGAAGCCTGTTTCTGATGGAGTCTCCCAAATCAAGAGATCAACATAGTTGTTCATAGTGTTCAGACAACATATCTCCTTAGAAACATTTCTCTCAGTCAAGATAATGTTAAGGGAAAAACAGTTATGAATAGCATATACAATATGTATCATACAATCCACTTACATAAAACTGTGTGTACAGCCACACTAGCTATGCATACATATGTGTGTAAAGTAATGATGTTCATGAAAATGCAAACAGTGGTTTTCTCTGGGCTGAGATTCCAAAAGGCACTTAGGTTCTATTTTTCTCTTTAACTTTTATAATGAATAGCTATCATTTTTACAAAAGCAATCAACTCATTTTTCAAAAGAAAATTTCTTTCTCCAAAATTCTCCTTTTTAGCCTTAATTATATTTAACTTTCACTGTGATTTTTTTCCCTTTGTTTCTTGCTATCATCTTGTCTGTGGAAATATTAAAATAATGCCCACCATATAATCATGACTCCTAACAGGTATAAACAGCTTCAGAGTTTTTTTCCCCTTAAGGACATTTACTATAAAACTAAGTAAAAAGGATTTTTCCAGATGAAACTGAATGAGAGTGCTCTTTCCCCTAATCTTAACAGATGTATTCATCACTTCCAGCTGCGCTCTGCCTAACACCTACGGAAGTTGTAGTCATTTAGTACAAATCTCTTTTCTCCATTGATTTCTATGTTTCTGTCACCTTTATATTCTCCATTACACTGAACATAAAGGATCCTCAATAAACATTTGTTAAACTAAAAATTAAAAAAAATACAGTAGTAGGGACCACAATAGTATGAAACCCTGTATACACTATATTTCTTCCCATATCTACGTACGTACCAATAGTTTAATTCACAAATTAGGCACAAGAAGAGGTAAAAATGATAACTAATGAAAATAGAACAATTATAACAATATATTATAATAAAAGTGATGTGAATGTGGTCTGTCTAAAAATATCTTACTGTACCACACTCACCCGTCTTGTGATGCTGTGAGAGGACAGAGTGATGGCATGAGGCGAGAGTGACATGGGTATGGTGGTGTAGCGCCAGGCGGCTATGGACATTCTGACTGTTCATCAGAAGGAGGGTCATCTGCGTGCGGATGGCAGTAACCACAGAAACAAGTGTTAGGAAGGGAATAAGGCATGCTACTGCACTCCAGTAGGTTCCATGGGAGGACAGGAGGGAGCCGCAGAGGGAGGGAAAGAGAGAGAACAGGAAGGAACATGAAATACAAGGGCCGAGGCTAAGAGTGGGGGGGCCCTAGCTCCCTTCCTCTGGCTACTACCTTCCCAACCACCGGAGGCTGGTCATTTCCACACCTCTGTGTCCATCTCTATTAGTCTGTCTGTAGGTTGTCTGCATCTTTCCCTCCCTTGCCTTGACCTGCCTTTGCCAGCTGGGTGGCATCGCTGTCACTGGGAGAAGTTGCTGCACACAGTGCCGCCTCACATACCTGCGACCTGAAAGACAGAGAGACCAACAGACCCCTTAAGGAACGTGAACAGCACGGAGGATACGCTGGCCCTAGGGGCACAGGGGCAGATAACAAAACATGCTAGTATTGCACCGTACTGCACAAGAAAGCGAAACAAAAGTTTCCCTCAACAACGAAAAACAACGCAGGGGCCACCACTTCATCAAAGTGGGTAGAGATTTTCACCTATTTCCTCTCCCTGTCCCAAAGTTTAAATGAAACTCTTGGGCCCGGCACAGGCCTGTGTCCCTCATCTGCTGGACCGCCAGGCCTGACCTCTGTCTGCCCGCCTGCAGGGCCTCCCAACTAGCCATCCTTCTGTCACCTCACCGCCTGCCCTGGTGCCACGTGCCACTCTGTGCCTTCATCGGGCTAAGATCTGCCCCAGCTACCAAGCTTCGCAGGCCCCAGGGGCCCCTTTCGGATCAGTGCGCAGGGGGCCTGTGCCCTGCGCCCTCGGCAGAGCGTCCCTGCCCCGCGCCTGGAGCGCCTGCCTTTCCGGACTCCGGCTGGTCGGCCTTCGGTGGCTGCCCGCACCGACCCCTTGCGGAGCCCCAGAGGCCGCTGCCGCCGCTCCTCGCGCGGCCCGGACCCAGCGGGCGCCGGGCTCGCGGCCGTCCATGGGCAGCAGGGCCCCTTCGGCGCTGGAGCTACGCGAGCGTCGGGGCCCGGGGAGTCGGCCGGCCGGGGACAGGCCTCCGCTCGGCAGCCTGGCAGCGGCGCGGGCGCGGCCTTCGGGCCTGCCGGCGGAGGCCCCGCGGGAGCAGGCCGAGCACCTGCTGCGGGCCGGCCCCGCGCGCCCCCAACTCCGCACGCTGCCGCCCTGCCTGGCCGTCCGGGCCCCGGACCCCTGTGCGGTGATGAACACGCACGCTCCGGCCCAGACGCACCACCTGCCCAGGCTGCTGGCCCAGGCGAGCACGCGGGGTGTGCGCCCCGCGAGGACGCGCGCCTGCCCCCGGGGCTGGCCTTGCCCGGGAGGCCCTGCGGCCAGGTGACTGGGGTGCTGGAGGGCGCCGGGGTGGCGCGCTTTGCTTGCGCCTCTCGTCCCGCCCGTCCACATGCGCCGGCCACCGCCCTGCCCTCCAGTCCTGCGGACCTGACTAAATTTGAGAAAGGAAGTGAGAAACTGACGGAAGAGCAAGTAGCCCAGCTGGCCATCAACGTGGCCGTGGTTTGAGGGGAAATCGACGAGCCGGCCCTGACGCGGGCGCAAGAGCACAGCCTCATGTTGGCTCAAGCCGGGTCCCCGAGGGATATGGTTTAGCTGAGTGGGGTGCTCTGCACACCTTTGATGACCGATCTGTTTCCTCCCCTGAAGCCAGGCAAGTGCCAGAAAGTGTACCAGCAAGGGCTGGGAGAGGACTTGGCCGTGGTGAGTGGGAATGCCCAGGCAGCCCTGCCCTCACCATGGTCCTCAGGGGGGCCACCACAGGGGCTGCGGGGTGCAGAGCAGGCTGCCTACCATGGCATTGATGCCTATTTCCAGTTATGTCAGAACCCCAGACTGCTTCCAGGGGCTAGGGCGACCGAGATGGCTTTAGGAAAAAGACTTTCAGAGGAAGGCACCAAACTGGAAGGGCCTAATGGTCCTGCCTTCCTAGCATTTGCACAGGCGCTACAGTCTCTTCCTGAAACCTTGGCAGAGAACACGGGCTTAGCTGTCTCCGAGGTGATGGCAGAAATGAATGGCACTCACCAAGCTGGGCACTTCCTAATAGGAGTGGGAGTCAAAGGGATAATAAACGTGGCCCAAGAAGTGGGGGACACCCTGCTAGCCAGAGCTCAGGGACTAGGAGCTGCAGCTGGTGTGGCCCTACAGCTCATGACTGTAGATGAGATTGTGGTGGCCAAGAAAAATCCCACACATCAGCAGGACTTGAATCCTGATCCTAAGAAGGCAAAGGAACGCCCATCTCCTGTGGAAAAGAGAGTTCTTAGAACAAACAAATAGCCACATCCTCAATAAAATGGAAATTGCCAAGACGCGCAATCCCCCCTAAATTGAGCATTTGCCTATTTATTCCCTCCATGTACGGTTCTATTAGAGTCCGCCGCTTTTGGTAAAAACAACATAAAGGGCCAGATGATAGAAGGCCGTTCCACTGATTTACTTCCTTTCAGGCTCTTGGTTTTTGTTTTTGTTTTTTTTTTTTCATTTCCTATTTACCTCCATCAGATTCTGCCCCTTTCCTCCATTAAAAGCAGGATTCAATCTTATTCAAGATTTTTAAATTGAGCACCTGGGCTTTGGGGATGCAAAAAAAAAAAAAAAGTGTAGGAATCTCTTCCCAACGATTCGAGCTACCTCTGCATGATATTCTAGTATGTGAATTTCTTTCCAGATGTCACATTAACAGTCTAAGATCTGAGAACATCAGTTCCAGTTACAGGAGTGGCCACTCATTCCTGCTGTGATTATTTGGAAAAAGAAGATAATATTATTTTAAGGCAAAAAAATGAAGAAAGAAAGGAAAATAAGCTGCCAGGCAGACGTAAATACACACACACACACACACACACACATCCTTGGCACGGATAAGAACGCACACCTTGGAACTACACCAAGGTGGTTGTGTGCGTGGGGCAGGGTGGGGCACGTGGCACCAAGACATCCCCAGGCGCTGGATACCCCTGGGCACTAAAGAGGGCATTTGGGCTGAGCTGGGAGCAGAGCAGCACACGTTACCTTTTACCAGCACACGTTAAAGCCTTTTCCACTTTAACCATCCAAATTGTTCTGCCTCTAGGAAAAAGCAGAACCTAGGGGCAGACTCTAGATGGGAAGCTGCACTCTCTCAGAACCATAAAAACAGAAAAGCTTCATACATTTGGAGAGAGAACCAGACTCCAGAAATAAATGTCCTATCGTGGAGCATATTAGCTGCAAGAAAGCAAAACAAATTTGCAAAGATTCTTTGAAAACTTGGAAGAGGTGAAATCCTGAAAAGCAGTTAGTGAATAAAGATGGTAAATGGAAGTGTATACAACGATGCTCATTATTACTAATTAAAGATATATAAAACATTCTTGATGTATCTTTTCTAGTTTTGTCTTCATCATTATATTTTAGTGAATACAATTAAATGCTTTCAGATTTCTCTCCAGCACTCACAGTCTCAAATTCCATAATAGTGATGACGGATAAATATTTAACTTTTAAAACAGTCCAAAGCACTATATGTAAATTTTATTTAATCATCAAAACAAACTTAGAAGAAGCTTGATTATCTCTGTCGCAGGAGACACAATTGAGCTTCAGAAAAATTAAGTGATTGGCCAAAGTTTCATAGTAAATAGAAGAGAGAAGTCATTCTCTTATTTGTTGTTCTGTTGCCCCACTCATAAATTCCTGGATTGGGATGTTTCAGAGAAATAACCCCTATGATTATGAAGAGAGTATGTCTCAAAATGGCCCTTTGAAAATACAGTGTTTTTTTAATTACACAAAAGACTTTGTAAAAAAATGAAATAACCAAGATGGCCCCTGTTTGCAGAGAACATTCTATAGGCCCAAGCAAGACTTAGGTAGGCCAAACAATGTAACATAGTATATATTATGTGTCCCACACATTTGATACACAAGGGGTTTCTTAAGAATTTATCTGGGGAGAAATATTGTAATACTTCATTAACATCTCCTTTTCCCTTAGAAACACACACACAACTGTATATACATAAATGCAAGTTAAAATGATCAAAGACAGCCTTACAAGGGACAAAGAAAAGTAACAACAGGCTTATGCTGAGAGCTTTAAAGGTAAAACACCAGACCCAAACTTGAAACTTGAAGACAGACACAGAGAAATCAGGTGGCCTGTGAGACATGCTGGGGAGGACCTTACACTCCAAGTCCCCAGATCATACTGGTTCTTATCTGTTCCAAGATTGGCTGGTCAGCTATTCAATTCTGTGAACTGCCAAGTATCCTTCAAATAAATCTCTCTGAAGGAGCCAGAGTTGGTTCCCCCTCATGGAAATCGAAAGAGCATTAGCTGTTCTAGAAAGGAAGGTAACACACAGCAGCTAAGGTGACTGACATGGGCCTAGGAGAGGACCAGAACGGAGACAGCTGGAAGCTGGAAGTGCTCTGGGGTGGTGCGCCCTTCAGCACCAGCCAAGGGTCATCTCCTTCCCCGCAGCCTGCCTTCTAAGCTCTTGCTCAAAGTGTGATGCGTGAAGCAGCAGAGCACCGCTCAGGAGCATGTTAGAAACCAGAATGTCAGCCCCCACCCCTACAGACTGGCTATGTCAGAATTTGCACGTTAACAAGATCCCCCAGTGATTAATATGCACCCCAATCATACTAAAGTTTGAGAAGTACTCATCTAAGTAATAGTCCTAATTAGCTCTATCTTGACTAGGCTTAGAAATCAAGTACCCTCTTAATATAAATCAGTGTTCTGTCTAAGTGTCAAAATAAATGACTCAGACACTGTCTGGTTTCTTTTCTCCTACTGACTATGGAGAGGTTGGCCAGAATTTGACCTCAATTTTACTGGATCCAGATCCACTTTCAAGGTATAAGATCAAGGTCTCCTAGTACGCAGGGTCTCAAGTTCTCCAAAGGCCCACACAGTTGGCTACATATTTCTCTTCCAAGATGTGCTTCTCTTCAACTCCCAGGGCAGCTGAATTTCAGAAACAATTCCTAAAGCGCTTTCTCCATGAAACTTGCAGCTAGTGGACTTATCTGCTCTTCCATCCCAAATCCCTTCCAGCCCAGTAACGTTGTTTCAGCGGGCTCTGAGTTGATCTGGTAAGCAGAGCAAAGAAACAAGATGCAGAGAAAATGGGAGGAATGTGAGACTGTCTGAGGGCTGGGCAATGAAGGAGATGGGTGCCTGGCTTGGGCTGAGCTGAGAACCACTCTGCGTCTGGGCACGAGCAAGCGTGGACCCAAGACTGGAATACAGAAATACTGGAGTCTGAAGGGGAAGAAAAGCCATTGATTCCAAACTGTGAAAAGAAGATAGAATCAAGAGGAAAGAGTTGTCAGTAGTTTGTTCCAGCCCTTGGTCTGCATGGACCCCTTCCCAGCAATCCTTTCTGAAGAGAGCCCCTGATGACTGAGCTCTGCTTCCCAGGCCTGCAAGCTGGAGGTCCCTTGAGTGCAGAGGCCAAAGGATAGAGAAAGTTAAGATTCCAGAGAGAAATCAGAAAACTCCAACACTAGGACATCTGAATGGGAGGAAAAGAGAATACCGAGGCTCAGGGACCCAACAATTTCATCAGTGAAGAGCAGAACTAGTTTCAAGACTTGCTCCTACCCTGTCAGCTGCGCTGACATTAATCACACGTGTTCATACCTGCAGACCACTCCCATTTCTGCTCGAGCCTTTTGGGAATAGTGACCAGCTGGTGATGCTTCACCATGTGAGGGATGTGACGTTGCTAGGTATTACCGATGGGTTATTTCCCACTGTGACTGAGTGGAACTTTCTCCTTGTGCTCGAGCAAGTTGTCCCTGTTGTGCTAAAATACCCAAAATGGCAGTAGACACAGAGGCCTCCGAATCTCTATAGTCCAAAGGCAGCGGGACCAACTTTTCTCCCAAATCATCACCCCCCCCGCCATGTGCACACATGCTAAGATCCCCCTTCCTAACTGGGGTGGGAATGGGCGACATACTGGTGGGACCTCCGAGAGGGGCTGCCACCACACAGTGGGCTCTCAGGAGTAGGGTGAGGGCAAGGGCAGCAGACTGTCCAGGGAAGCTTGGGGCTCTGAGAACAGAGGATATTCTCTGCTTCCAGGCTGGAACTGTGGGGCCTCCACAAGTTCCTGGGGGGAAAGTACCTGATGGAGCTGAAATGGCTGAGGGGGAAGGCAGGGAAGAAAGGGCCATTGGAGTCTTCTGTCAGGTTTCCCTGTGCATTGAGAAAGAGGAGATGAGGAGCTTACTTGGTTGAGGTCTGGGCCAATCAAGAAAAAACATGAAGGAACTAAATTTACCTGCAATTAACCCGATTTAGTATTTCACTATCAGGTGGAAAGGAAGCTGAAAAAAGAAGTACTGAGATCATCTAGTTATAGAAAGACGTCTACACATATGTCCTACACACTGAGATCAGGACTTGAAAATTCAAACTCTCTACAAATGTAAAGACTGAATAAGCGATTCAGACACTGCCCTATGTGTGTCACCACCAGAGCCTGACATGGTTACTGCAGAGCTAAGTGAGAGAGACTAGATGCTGGTTAGCAAAACAATGGTTATCTTTTTGTAGTGCAGGACAAATCTGAGATGTAGTTTTCTTCATTACACTGGTTAAAAAATAATAATGGCTCTCCAGAAGTTTTCTTCTAACACACTGAATGCATCAGAAAGAAAAGGTGAACCCCAGTGAATTTAGAGGAGACATACCTTTCTAGACTTCTCTGAATGCAAAATGAAAAATATTTTCATATCCAGAGTATCATTATCTTAAGCATCTTAGCACCTGTGTGTTGTGCCTCCAGGTTCCCAGCATTAGAGAGGCCCCCACCCTGGCTGCTGAGCTGAGCAGAGCCTCTTGGAGAACATTTCCCCTCCAGCAGAGATGAGATCGGCCAGCCTCAGTCTTCTCTGTGTAGATGCAAAATGTTACATGCTTCACATTTCATTCTGACATTCCTGCCCTTTATTTCAGTTTTATTAATGTAATTGGTTTGCAAAAGGTATATTGCTTCCCAATATATACATCCCAATATTGCTTCATGTGAAAAAGTTTCCAAAATTACCTGTGATGTTTCTTAGATTTTAATTTGAGAAGAATCTTCACATGCCTTAATTCCTGAAACTAAATAGAACATATTTCAAAATACCCAGATATTATTGAAAACTAAAGTCTTTTTTAAAATTGAGAAGAGCCATATAGCATTGTATAGTTTTAGATGCACATGATTTGATATGTATTTGAGGAATGAGCACAATAAGTTAACATTCATCACCTGACATAGTTCTAAATTTTTTTCATATGACAAGAACTTTTAGATCTACTCCCTTAACAACTTTCAAATATACAATACAGTACGGTTAACTATAGTCCCTGCTGTATATCACATCCCAGGACTTAGATATCTCATAACTGGAAGTGGGTACATTTTGACTCCTTCACCGATTTTACCATTTCTCGACGCCAACACCCCCCTCTGGCAACCACCAGTCTGTTCTCTGTGAGTCCAGTTTTTTGTTTTTGTTTTTTTAATTCCACATGTGAGTGAAATCATACAGTATTTGTCCTTCTCTGGCTTATTTCACTAAGCATAATTTCCTCAAGGTCCATCTATGTTGTCACAAATGGCAGGATTTCCTTCCTTTTTATAGATGAATATTCCATTACAGATGTGTATGTGTGTATGTGTAACAATTTCTTTATCCGTTCGTCTGTTGATGGACACTTAGGTTGTTTCCATTTCTTAGTTGTAAATAATGGTGTAATGAACATGGGGGTGCAGATATCTCTTTGAGTTACTGATTTAAATTCCTTCAGATAAATAGCCAGAAGTGGGATTGCAGGATCATATGTTATTTCAGTTTAATTTTTTGAGGAATCTCCATACTGTTTTCCAAAATGGCTGCACCAATTTACACTTCCACCAACAATGCACAAGGGTCCCCCTTTCTCCACATCCTCGCCAGCACTGGTTGTCTTTTTTGGTAATAGGCATTCTAATAGATGTGACATGATATGTCATTGTGGTTTAGTTCAAGTTCCTAATTGTAGATATCTCACCCATTTATATATTTGCCTATGGTTTCTATCTTTCTATCAATTTCTTTTGGTTCTCATTAAATGAGTAATTAATCTTCTTTGCCTTTTATTTCATCCATGGCTTCTTGAAGTGACTGCTCAACCTTATTCTTTCCCATCTTGGATAAGTTTAATTTTCCTTGCTTGAAATTTCAGGAAGATAATTCCATATTTTCTCCCCAAAGTCTGGATTTCTTTGTCATAAATTAATATCCTTTCATTTTTTTCACTCTCTGATCCCTTTGGCTCTTTACTTTCATAAAGTTTTCCCTCTTCTTTTATTTACTGAGTCACCATAAACTCTTATTCTGATCTTGTCCAAGTAAAGGGCTTCTAGGAGTGCTGATAGTTAAGGATTCTTTCATTCTGCAGAGTAGACAATGGGGAATTCTGGTGGTAAGTGCAACTATTTATATTTCAAGTCATAGTGGGACACAGTTGGACTTATTAGTGCAACTCAAACATGTGTTTACTGCCAAGCCAGTGTTAAGAACTATCCAGAAACAAGAATTCAATCAATCAACAAGCAAGGAATCTCAATCAGGCAAACTTGCCCAGTGAGGGCCTATGAAAATGCCCATCTCAGATCTACTACAGAGGCCAGCTGACCACAGGAGGGAATCCACCGCCAGCATCCTTGGGAGGGAGCTGGGGCTCCAGCACCCCAGTCCACCTGGCCCAGACCTCGCCCAAGCTGCCTGCATCTTCTCCCTCCCTTTCCCGGGGCTCAGATCCCGCTCCCAACCCTCTCTCCTTTCTTTCCTCAGACATATTTCCTCCTGTTGACCTGCTGCACGACAATCCTGTCTTGGCATCTGTCTGGCAGAGGACCCGGACTAACAGACTCACACAGGTCAGTGAGGCAGAAACGTCAGGGCGACTCTGAAACAAGCTGCCTCTTCCTCACACTAAACTTGCCCTGCCCACTGACTCTCCTGTTCTCGAAAGGCACTCAAGTATAGAGAACTTCAATTTAGAACCAACTACCACGCCTGGCCTCCCACCCTAAGAGCCACTCCCTGCACCACTCCCCAAAGGCCTAGCAGGGCCCCACCTGCCCTGCAGCCTCACACCCTCCCTACTTACCTAACGAGAACATACACCCAACGCATACACCCACTTCGCTCTCTCTCAAGTGCTTTTATTCATTTCTAGGAGGCAAGTAAGTTTATCCTTTGAATGTACTCCCCCCTCTCCTCTTAATAAGGCATTATTACTACATGAAAGTAATAAAAATTAAATGCCTTGCATAAGAATCTCGTTGTTACTTTCCCAATCCCTTTGTACAAATGGTTCCTCTCTTGATTTACATGATCCCTTTGAGCGTAGACAGGACCAGCATTATCAGCCCCACTCCCCCGAGGAAGAGGCTGAGACCCAGACTCATCTCTGCAGGGGTCAGTTAGCAAGCCTATCCAGGGAAGGCTTGAATCTGATGACCTCTAAGTCCCTGTCCACTTCCAAAATGGTATGATTTCCTACTTGATCTGAAATCACAGAGCTAGTGGTTAGTGGTAGACTGGGGACCCGAGATGAACGTCTTCTGGCGCCAGGCTAATTCTCCCACACCGTGTTATTGTTGCCGACGGCAGTAATGGCCGACACTTAGGAGCTGCCCCTGTGTGCCATGCTCTGTGGTGATTATCACCGGGGCATACCCACTCAGCGTCCATCCTCCCCCTCCCCCCTTGTCTAGGGGGGTTCAGTTCCCCACACACTTGTCGGGAGCTGCCCCGACCCATGTCCTAAGATATGCTCTGGTTGGTTTAACCTGATCAACACTTTCGGTTCTCCTGGCCATAGCATGCGTCTAGGGGAGGGCCTGGGCCCAAACGGTCTAACCAGGGTGGACTGGAAGATTCTGGCCTGGAATGCAGGGACAGAAGTGCACTCTGTCCTACTGGACATAAATTAGGAAGCACTGGTTTTATTGCTCCCAACAGCCTCTCTGTGGCCCCAAGGGGAAGCCACAGGCTTCTTTTTGGGCTGAGAGTTTTTAGCAGCTAAAATCTATGAGATGTCTATATCCCTAAAACTGAACAAACAACACGGGCAAAGACAGATGAGGTAATTGAGACCCAAGAGTTACTCAACTTTGCCAGGCTCATACCGCCTATTTGGGACACTTAGGACTAGATATCAACTTTTCCCCAACTGACCCAGGCTGCTCTTGGCCTCAGCAAGTAGACAATGCACTCCTGTGCAAAGATTCCTCACAAGGATCATACAGAGTTCCAGCTGCTGAACAGAACCCCAGAAGTATGTTGATGGCAGCTGGGGGAGGGCGGTGGTGGCGGTGGTGGGGGGAGGAAGGGGCTTCCTTCTGTTCTGCTCTCCTGCCTCAGGTAGAACTGATGATGGCCTGAGCTGAGCACGATGGGGTAACAGGAACCAGGACTCCACCCCTTCCCCCACCCTAACCCTCTGCCAAGCACAGAGCCTTGGAGGCTGCCCTGGAGGAAGCAGAGGCTGCCTGCCAAGTACCTGCCCACCTGGGGTCAGGGTGAGGGCAAGGCTGTGACTGTGCTGTGAACAGCCTGGAAAAGAGGTGGGTAAACAGGTGGCCCTGGGGCAACAGGCTTTGGTTCTCAGGCTCCTTGTCAAGGAGAGCCAGAAATAAAAAGCACGTAAATCAGAGAAACACAAAATACATAAAAAGAGAATAGCTATTTTTCCAACTCCCTCACTTACTCGTGTGTCTATACAGTTCTGGAAGAATCAGACACGAAGGGCAGTTTGCTTAGTCTGATCATAGCTAATGTATCGTTCATTCATTCACCAAGATGTTTTGAGCACCTACCTTACGCCCTCAAGATAAACTCTGAAAATGAAGAACCCTGTATCCCAGAGCTCACATCTTAATGGCAGAGGGGAAGTGAAAACAGAATATATATAACAAGTAAATAAACAGGATGATTTCAGACTGTGTTCATGCTCTGAAGGAAATAACAGGGTTATGCGACAGAAAGTATTCGCTCAGGTGGAAGGGAGTCCTACTTTGGACGCCGTGTCAGAAACACCTCCCTGGGGCACAAAGCTTTTGGCAGAGAGGTGGCCAGTGTGCCCCGAGCGCAGCAAGCTGACGCTGGAGAGGCGGCCGCATCCGTGGGGCAGGGTCCTGGCGGATGCCTGTGATGGCGGGAATGCGGCTGGAAATACCACTCGGCCATCCTCCCGGGTGCATTAGCGAGCGCTGTGGTCTCCCGACGGCCCTCCGCAGGCCGACCTGGGTTTAAGTTTGGGAAACCCCACTCTCCTGACCTTGGTAAAGCTGCCTGATTTCCCTCACTTGAATAATCAGCGATTTCTCTTCCTTGTGTGGGGACTGGCTCCAAACCTCAGCCTTATCAATTAATCCTTACCCTTCTAAACAGCCGTTTACAAAACTAGCAGTATTTTAAAAAGAAACCCACAAAATTTAAATAGAACAATACTGCATAAACAATCGGGGAGTAAATTCCCCGGGAAAAACTGATCATGTGGTTGGGGTAACCAGCTGTCATTCGGCTGACGGGGGCCTATGGGACTCAATGTCGATCCCAGGTCTGGGTGGCCCCGGGCGCTCCCGCTCGCTTTCCGCTTCCGAAGCCCAGAGCAGAAGCGCTTCAGAGCTGACAGCCATCGAGGGCCCCGCGCTCCCCCTCGTCCTGCTGGGCGAGCTGCACCCGGCCGAGCCCGGTGACAGTGGCGGGGGGGGGGCGGGAGCGAGAGGCGGCCAGGGAGCTGTCGCGGCGCCCTTTCCTTCAGGAAAGTAAGTGCGAAGCGGCGCGGGGTTGGCCCGCGCGGCGACGGGAGGCGGCCCAGGGGGAAGAAGCAGGAAGACAGCGACTCTGGGAGCCGACCAGGAGGAGGGCCCAGGCTGCGGGGCGCGTCCGCACAACCGGAGCCGGGCCCCCAGCCCTTAGCTACCCGGTTCCCCCGACGCGGGCGCGAGGGGCGGGGCTCAGGCACGAGGCCAATGGGAGGGCGAGCCGGGGCTGGGCGGGACGCCAGGCGGCGAGAAGACCAATGGGAGGCCGAGCCGTGGGCAGGGGCGGGTCGCCAAGCGGCGAGAGGGCCAATGGAAAGCTGGGCAGGGGAGCGCGGGCTGCTGCCAACCCGCGCCTCGGGAGAGGGACCCGGAAGGCGGTGGGGGCGGGGAGCAGGGCTGACAACCTGTCAAATCTACTTTGGGACGATGTAGGTCACGCGCCTCCTGGAGCCTGGGCGCTCCCGCCCTGCGAGGCCCGGTGGGTGGCCCGCGGGCCGGGCCCGGTCGCTTCCTCTTCCTGCGGCGGCGGGAGCGGGGCGGGACACCTGCATCCCGGCCCCCGGCAGGCCGCGCTGCTCCTGGCCGTCGGCCGCGCGGTCTTCCCCGACAGTCGGCCCATCGCGGCCTCGCAGTTGAAAGTATGGCCCTCCCGAGCGGCTTTACGTGCCGAGAACCCCCCACGCGTGCGGCGGTCCCCACGCCGCTCGCCGAGGGGCACGGCGCCTCCTTCCCGCGAGCCCGCGTTTGCGGAAGCCGCGGACCGCCGCACTACTTGGCGCGGAAGGAGAGGCGAGCGGCGGAGGGATCGCGGCCCAGAGGGAGGGGCGCGCTTGGACCGGTCCGCGCTGGACCGCTGTCCGTTCTGTCCCTGGTGCCGCCGGAGGGGACAGGCCTGCGCTGCGGCGGTGGCGTGACGGGGCTCCGGGGCGGGAGGCCGCTTTGTATCCGCGCGGGACGCGGCGTCCCGCGTCGCTGGGCTCCGTTCCCTGCAGCCGGCCCCCAGCCCTCCAGCGTTTCCCCGCGGGTACGAGGCGACGTTAGCGCGGGTCCCGGGACACCCCGTGGGATCCGTTCCCCGCTTCGCTCAGCCCGCGTCCAGGTCTGCGCAGTGTGGACCGCGGCAGCGTATCCGCCTGTTCAAGGTTCTCAAGATGGATGTGGATGCACGTCTCTAAGCAACACTTACGTTACTGTGTTGATTCCATTCATTATTGTTTCTTGATGCAAATATGCTGAGGACTTTTGCATTGAATGGTCAGCATATGAAATGCTTTGTGTAATTTTTACTACTTGGGCACCCAGATTATGTTAATTTCCACCCCCAGAACAAGGTGATACATTGTTTTAACTAACAGTGACCAACTTCTCCACTCCTCCCAAACTGAATAAAACCTAAGGATGACAATGTAGATTTAAAGAACTGAAATTCGAAAGTATTTTAAATGAAAATTTTTGAAAAGGCAATTATTTGAAGTGTTTCTTCGCAATATTACAGTGAAATGGAATAAAAAACACTTTCAAATAATATTTCTTTAAACAAATATTTCTTGAATACATACATTGTGTTCAAACATGTGCATGTGAAAGCATTGTGTTCAAACATTTTATTACTTTAGCAAATGCATATTTCATCAGTAAAAATTTTATTTCGTTTTAAAGTCCAGCCTTTAAGTGCATTTTAGCCACCGCATTTGGAAGAAAACAATATGCTACAGCATCTGTGTATAGAATATACATATGTAAATTTTTTTACATTTACAAGAAGCATGGTCACCAAGAAAACTCTAGATAAAAATTAAAAAAATAAAATGTTTTAAATTCAACATAAACATGAGCTTAGTCATCAGTAATATTATAATTCTTGAACTACCATATTATTACTGTATTATATGGTATTATCAAAGATTGGAATAGACATCCAACCTTTTTTATTAAAATCAAACAAAACAACAAAAGGACCTTTAATATGTTTCATTATAGCTAATTCCTTATTGCCAGCTATTTTCCAAAGGGAGAACTTGTTATCTATTTTGACCAATTGGCAACCCAACAGTGTTAGAAGCTCTTTGCATTCACTGAAAATAAAAAAAAAGTACCATCTTTTCTTACTTCAAAAGTTTTGTTATCAATTTCCACTGAAAGGTAAGTTTTTTTTGTTCATCCTTTTAATGTTAATTAATCATGAAGAAAATAAAACCACAAGTGTTTTTCTTCAACAAGCCACAGGATTGTCCATAGCAGAAAGTCAATACTCAAAACATGAGAATGAATTGTATATCCCTATATAAAAACTGCATGCTGGAATTTAACCACTAGATATATTACATTAATAGGTAAAACTGGAGATTTTAAATTTTAAAGTGCTATACTAAAACAATCATCTTGATGCTTTTGGGTAAATTTTCACTCCTTTAACAAAAGGTAAAAAACAGCAGTTCTTGAAATGAGTGTTTTGATATGATGTGTCACATCTTTTTTCCTAATTTCATAAGAAAGCTAATTCCATTTCTCTCCTCAAATATAAAAATTAGAAACATTCTGCCTTAATTATTTCTTCTCTTGTATCCCTTAGCTAGCAAATTCTTTTGGAATAGACTCAGGAAATTAATTACCTTTATAAATGGAGTTACTGTTTTGTTTAAATACTTCATGTGTAATTTTACAATTCCCTACCAAGATGTCTTGGCAGTTTTTTTTTCTCAGCTGGCAGTGCATTTCCTGGACTAGAAGGAAAGAGCAGGCAACCCCTTAAATATTTTGGGGAGGGCAAGTGGCTTCACCCTAGAGTAAAGATACCCTCATGGCAGCTCAGTCTCGGCTATGTGATTGGAAATTCAGCTTGGACGAAAAAAAGGTAAAAGGTTCTGTGAATGAGAAATAAATAAGCCTTGAGTTAGAGGTTGTAAGCCAGTGGGCTGCAGATGTATTTTGTTTGCCTCTCACAATGTTTAGAAATTTTTTAATTACTTTCCAAGATTTTAAAAATGAGAGATTTCAGGCAGAAATACACAGGATTATAGCTTCTCTTGAAAGTTAGATATGGCCCAATTCCTGCTTCCTTGCCTGCCGCTATAGCTGACTAGTTGCCGACCTCTTTAGACAGGGTGTACACTCTATATTTTGGGCTCAGTACAATCATTTATTTTAACCACAAGGCCACTGGAGGAATCTGTGTTTGGAATACTTGCTCGAGGTTATATAAATTTGTGAAGGACTTCATTACAGAGAGAAATTAGGCTTAGCAAGCGTAGAGAGATGATCTTTGTTAACTGGAATTATGTATGGCAACCCACAAGCATCCCATTGTGTGTCTTACCAGTCCCCTGGTACAGGGAAAGGTCAGCTTGTATCAAAGTGAAATATTTTTGTGCTGTACTTTCGACTTGAAAAGTCACCGCCTTGATTCAAATGAATATCACTGGAAGTCTTGACAATAGAACCTGTGAAAGACCATACAGAAGAAGGGATCCCCTAAAGGGCTACAAAATAACAATAATGATGATGATAGTAGCAATGTCTTGATATTATTGAGCAATAACTATGGGCCGGACATTGTTCTAAGTACTTTATCTGAACTCCGTCATGTTATTGTATCTTAGTTTCCCATTTGCTACTCACCTTCCTTTTCTTGTTGCACCTGCCTTGAACCCTCTGAAATCCAGACATGAGGTGAGGGCTATAGTTGGCTGCACCTTAGGGTGGCACAACCCTATGGCCATCACTGCTCCTAAAAGTGTCTGGATGTCCTTTACTACTTTTCCCTGGCCGTACTCCAAACTTGTCCTCTCGTAGGCCTCTTCCTGTCACATTCTGTGCATCCTTTCCTATTGGCATCAGACTTCTCACCTCAGCAAGAAATACTCCCTTTTTAGGGCAGAGAAGAGAGAGAATCAGGCTGAGGCAACAAATTGGTAGGAAAAAATGAGACGAAAGACAGAGAAATAGGATAGCACTAAGGACAGGTAGGTGGAGAGCGACACAGAAACACCAGTCACCCACCCTGTCCTCTGCCATCAACAGCATCGTCAAATCCACAGCAAGACCCAAGAGTAACAGCCGGACACTAGAAAATGTTCCAAGTTGTGTCAGATGGATTCCGTGTTTGATGATTGCTGGGAGTGTGAAGACCAGCTCTGCAGAGTTACATTCGGGTAGAGTCGAGATACGTCCGTGGGGAAGAGTTCAAATAAAATGTGCTAAGTTTTAATAAGATGGCTCAATACCATATTAGATAAAGAAAAAGCAAAAAGTAAAATTACATATAAAAACATATTTTGGGGTTAAACAGTGTTTTAGATTTTTCACTGGTTAAAGTATTATCTAAGTACATTGAAAAGGCTATAAGAAAACATAGCAAGATGGTAGTAGTTCTGGTTTTCCAAAGTTTTCTAGTGTCGTAAAGTACTTATGTAATCAAAAGAAGATAAAATAATTATGAGCCAGGGAGAAAAACTAAAAATCAAGCTGAGAATGTATTTATTGAGTTTTAGTTCCATGAAAGAAACTCAAAAATTATCCTACAGTTATGGATGTTACCATCTCCAGATTTCACAAATATTTTCCCACTCTGTCGAGGTAACTGGGCAAGGACCTACTCCCAGTGCTAGAAAAGCAACTCAAAGTACATGTCATATTCATGCCGCATGATGTGGCATCAGCTTTGAGCAGCAAGGACGGCATATGTGACTCTCTGTCCTGATCCCTTCTTGGAAGGACGGCGGTCAAACTGGATCAGGGCCCATCCTAATGGCCACACTTTAACTTAACTACATCCTTGAAGGCTCTGTATCGAAAAGTCACATTCTGAAGTACTAGAGATTAGGACTTCACCATGAACTGCGGGGCAGGGAGTGGGGCACAGTGCAGCCCACAGGAGAAGCAAGGGGCTGGCTGCAGAAGGTGGCTTTTTGAGGGTGGCAATATTTATTAAGACACTTGGGTGATCATCCTTGGATCAGAAGGGTGGCTTTAGGTTGCTGGAGTATTGGGGAGAGTAGTGTGACTAGAAAGGCGCACAGCTTTCAAGAGGAAAGAAGGAAGGGCTTGGTTAGAGTAGATCTACTGAGACTAGAGTTAGCTGTGTTTCTCGAAACCTTTGGTCTGTTGGCTCTATTTGAATTTTGTATGATTGCAGAAAGTTGTTTTAAGGCCTTCCTCTAGATAGGACTTTCCAACAGTGTCATGAAAATTTACCTAAGCTATTATCAGAACTGAGGAAGGTAAGATAATAGCAGACACCCTAAATGAGCTTTTTAATTATTTTAAGATATATGAATTATATCATGTCCACCTGGGTGATCTACTAGACACCACCAGCAACAATTGCATTTAGAGAACTAATGTCTATATACCTGAATGCAAAGAAATACTATGTAGCCTAGGACATTTCTTGTACTGCCTATATTGAAAAGTGAAGTAGAGTCCTAGGAAGGTAAAATAAAAAATAAGGACAAATAGAGAAATAACAACTGCAAAACAAATTCCAACCTGCCTTGGCTTTTTCTACAGTAAGAGGATTTTTAATTTCAGCCAAAGAACTCACCACTTCATTTTGTAGCAAGCTCCAGTCCATTCTGGAAAAGGTGAGCATTCATATAATGAATAAATAGTATCAATATTTTGCCTCAGTAGAAAAACCCTGAATAAACAAGCAACAGTTTCTTCCTTGTTTCAATATTAAATTGCCTAGTTGGACTAAAGCAGATCTTTAAAATCATGAAAACTGCCTTGAGTCACTCTAACTTTGTCTTCTACTGTACTTGTATTTATTTAGGCTTCACGGGAATTATGTTTTGGGGACGTGCTGAGGCACGGAAAGCTTAAATGAAGTCATGTCCCCCACCGTCCACCCCGTAATGCATATGTTTAAGCCTTGCTCTTTAAATACAACTGTGTCTGGAGATGGGGCCTCAGGGAGGTAACTAGGGATAAATGAAGGCCCAGGGTGGAGGCCCCGACCCCAGAGGATCGGGGTCCTTTGTGAGGACAAGCATCAGAGAGCTTGCTCTCCCCCTGCCCTGCTAGGACATAGCAAGAAAGCAGCCTCCTGCGAGCCAGGGAGGGAGCTGTCCCCGACACCAAACGGGCTGGCACCTTGACCGCAGACTTCCCGGACTCCACGACTATCTGGTGTTTGGACCCCCGGTCTCTGGGTTGGCAGCCCCGTGGCCTGCCTCAGACAACCTGCCTGAACACCTGACTTGCCTTTTCATCTTTCAAGTCTTCACCTCGATTACTCTCCATTACCTTCTTTTCTGAAGAAATTACACCCAGTTCGCCCTGGCTGCAATGACCCCTCCTGTGTCAGAGTACTTCTACAAAGGCATGGATCCCAGTGTTTACTGTACTTGCTCAATGACTTGCTGGTTTTCATCTGCACGACGATGAAGGATTCAGGAAGGAAGCACCCCTCTCCCCAACTCTGCCGCATGTCCTCAGCGAGGCCAAAGCCTGGCACACGGCAGGCTGCACCAGCAAATACTGTTTCAGCATCATTCTGGCGAATGAAAGGGCGGAGGATGCCTTTAGTTTTCCAGTCACACAACGAAGGACATCAATTAAGTGAGGACAGCAGCAAATATTTCTAATGTAGGTTATGTAATTAACCTACTATATTCCACAGGCATGATGCTATCTTGGCTGGGTTCTCTGTTTCATTCAAAACAGGCTCAGACTGGATAGCAAAGGGAATCCCCTCGAACTCTGGTCACAGTAGATGATGATAATAAACAAGCTGAGGACATGACCATTTACTGTTCATTGTGGGCCAAACTTGATTCCTGCAGACTTGTTCTCCAACTTGCATTTTGCTGTGGCTGGCTGTGTGGCCTTGGGCTCATCACTGCTCACCTTCCATACTTCAATTTTCTCTTTCATAAGGTGCAACTACACCTGCACCCATTCTACACATTTCTCAGGGCTGAGGTGGGGAGTAGGGGTGCTAAAACAAGCTAATGAAATTTTAAATCTTATTAGGAATTTAATCCAGATGGATTAAAAGTCTTTGTCAATATAAGACCACTGAAACCCTAGCCTTGTTATCTGGGTCCCAGAGAAGGGGTCCAAATGAAGGGAAGTGTGTAACTCACCACTTTGTACTTTCCCTACCACACAAATACAAATCCTCAAATGAAAGAGAAGTAAAATTAAGGGAGGGAGGGAGTTGGAGTGCTGGACATTAAAATAGCCTCCTCCTTGAGTCCCTGGGCAGAGGTTCCTCGGGCACTGGCCCATCTGTGTCTCCCACGATAATTTCGTGACTTACTGCTGCTCGCCGAATACTCTATCTGCTTTCCAACTGTGGGTAAAGCTGCAGTGTTTACAGAGCCTCTAGCCTGGCCTTGGTTCATCTCCATATCAGTAGGTGCTCCCAAGGGGTGGAGAGCAGTAGCCCACCTCCACACCGACAGGCGATTACATGGGGGAGCTGGCAAGGGCATGTCTGGACCGGAGAGGTTGCGTGGGGTCCCTTTTTGTAGCTGGGTCCTGAAAGAAACGGGTGAGCAGAAGCGGACCACTGCTTGTAGGCAATACATGGGTTTCTCCCACTATATTTCTCCCTTTGACTGACTTCAGTTTCAAGGGTAATTTGCCCAGGGCTGGAAAAATATATCCCCCCACCACCGGAATTAAACCAACAATAGTCAGAGCAGCCATTTTCAATGATTAGCTCTACACAGCGAGTTCTTAAATCTACATTTCTCACTGAGCCTTTCAACAACTCCCAGTCTGCATTTCCAATGTGAGTGTTAGGAGGTGGGGCCTTTTGGGAGGTGGTGAGGTCATGGGGGCAGAACCCCCATCATAGGATCAGTGCCCCTATAAGGGGACCCCAGGGAGGTCCCTCCTCTCTCTGCCCTGTGAGGGCACAGAAGACTACTGTCAGCAACCCAGAAGAGGGTCCTCACCAGCGCCCTGCCATACCTGGACTTCCAGCTTCCAGATCTAAGCCGTCCAGTCTGCGTACTTTGGTACAGCACCCCAAACTGACAAAGATATATATTAACTGGGTTCTAGAGAAAACTGAATAATATGCTGAATGTAAGATTCCTGGTACCAATAAATATTAGCTATTATTGTTACTGAGTTCCAAATTAACCTCATAAAACTCTCTCACTTAAGAATTTTCCCATTGGCTCTATGTTAGTCCTTACGCAATTAAATGATTTTTATTAAGCCAACTGTTTTTAAATACGCTGAATTTCAACTAATTGATAGATTACATTGGTCTGGTATTTGAGCCTTGCTGAGGTAGTTTAATTCTCTGCAAAAGCAGCTGCCCTATTTGATACTGAAGATCCTGTTCAGTTCTACAATATTACTTTTATGATTCAATTCATAAATTTAAGAAATAAATGTTTAAGCAGTGAGTCAGTTTTTAATGTGTCTGAATATGTCTTTCTTACCAATTTACAGATTGATAAGTTATATATATTTATTTATTTATTCATATTTTTAATACCCAAAGAGATGATTAGGTACAGTTTCTCTCTCCATTAAATACCAAAAACTCTTACTTTAAATTATAAATTTAGCCCTTTATTTCATTTTGTTATCCAATCTATTTAAGTTACACTTTTACGCTGTGCTGGAAATGAGGGAGAATTGACAAATACAGAATTTTCTAACCTACAATTGTAGTATCTTGAAAACAACAGCTATTTGTGAACAGCTATTTCACATTAATACGCCAAGTAAACCTCTTCTTTCCCACTACCACCCCATTTTTATTAAGATGTGTCCTGCTCTAGTGCTGGGTTCCCAGTGTGTGGTCAGAGGACCCCGGGGCCCTGTGGACCCTTGCGGAGGGTCTGTGAGATCCTCCCTTTCCAGCTATGTAACTTTGTGAAGCCAGATTTTCTTACAATTCAACCCAAAACATCATAGTGCAGTAGATTGAATGCAGAGAATCCAGCTGTTTTCTATTAAGCCAGATAGCACAGAGATTTACAGAACTATAGAACAATGCAGTTCAATATTTTTGTTTTGGAAATTTTTTCATGCAATTGTACTTTAAATGAACATACAATGGGTTTAGTATTGCTCTTTAGAAATGAATTAATAAACCAATGTTTTTAAATTTTCTCAATTTTAATTTATAATATAGTAAATATTGATAAACATAACCTACATCAACAAATGTCCTTGGGGGCTCTTAGTAATTTTTAAGAGAGTAAAAATGATGTGCAACCCAAAAATCTTGGAAACTTTGTTAGAAGTTTCTGGTCCAGTAGACGCACACCATACTGCAAATGTTTTTCATATAGGCTGGAAAGAAGTCAAATTATAAAATGAAGAGTTATTCTCCAGCCTCGAACACCATCCTATTGTGGGGCAGTACACAGCTGACCGTCAGTGTTCTCAAATCTGAGCCTTCATCTGCATCACCCACGGGGCTCTTGCTACAAGGAGTTTCCCATTCAATGGCTTTGGGTGGATCTGAGAATTTGCATTTCTAAGAAGCTCCCAGGTGGTACTGAAGCTGTGAGTTCAGAGCCCAGGCTTTGAGAACCACTGGTCTAGGGTACTGCTTCCATTTTGCCCTGTTAAGTAAACGAATCTTGTCTAAAATGTAAGTTGGAAACACACATTTGCCAGACATTTTAGTGGGAGACTAAATCATTCATAGACCCTTGACAATGGGGGTTATAAACAGAATAAGAGAAGGGAGAAAGTCCTGTCCAACCAGAGGGACCCAAGCCATCCAGGTAAAGCAGTGGGCTGTCGGGGAGGTGACCAAATCACCCTTACTTCCAACAGGAATCTCCTTTTGGCAGATTTGTGTTTCTGTAACATTCTTTTCATTTCAATTTAAAAAGAATATCAATTAGTTGTTTAAATATAAAAATACAGTTTTTGTTTTTGTGTTGAATTAGTGCCCCCCAAATTCATGTCTTCCCCAGAATCTCCGAATGTGACCTTACTCGAAAACAGGGTCATAGTCAAATTAAGCTGAGGTTGCACTGGATTAGGTTGGGCCTTTAATCCAACATGACTGGGATCCGTAGAAGAAGAGCGGAGATGTGGACAGACGCGGCTCGGGAAGAGTGTCGCGGGAACACGCACACGGGGAAGCCAGCCCTGACTGGCGATGCGGCTGAGAGCTGAGAAACGGCAACGCCGGCAGGAGGCAGGCGTGGGGCGGATTCTCTCCCGCAGCCCCCCGCGGAACCGGCCCTCGGATTCTGGTTCCTGGCACCTCGATTTTGGTTTCTGACCTCCTGAACTTGTGACAGAAGAAAATGCCTGTTGTTTTAAGGCACCTGGTTTGTGGTAATTTGTGATGGCAGCCTTTGGAATCTATAGCCCATCAAGAAGAGAATGAAAGACTTGAATTTTTGGGGGAGATTCTCTTTTTTTTATTGCTGAGGTAGTTTAATTCTCTGCAAAAGCAGCTGCCCTATTTGATACTGAAGATCCTGTTCAGTTCTACAATTTTACTTTTATGATTCAATTCATAAATTTAAGAAATAAATGTTTAAGCAGTGAGTCAGTTTTTAATGTGTCTGAATATGTCTTTCTTACCAATTTACAGATTGATAAGTTATATATATTTATTTATTTATTCATATTTTTAATACCCAAAGAGATGATTAGGTACAGTTTCTCTCTCCATTAAATACCAAAACTCTTACTTTAAATTATAAATTTAGCCCTTTATTTCATTTTGTTATCCAATCTATTTAAGTTACACTTTTACGCTGTGCTGGAAATGAGGGAGAATTGACAAATACAGAATTTTCTAACCTACAATTGTAGTATCTTGAAAACAACAGCTATTTGTGAACAGCTATTTCACATTAATACGCCAAGTAAACCTCTTCTTTCCCACTACCACCCCATTTTTATTATGATGTGTCCTGCTCTAGTGCGGTGTTCTCAGTGTGTGGTCAGAGGACCCCGGGGCCCTGTGGACCCTTGCGGAGGGTCTGTGAGATCCTCCCTTTCCAGCTATGTAACTTTGTGAAGCCAGATTTTCTTACAATTCAACCCAAAACATCATAGTGCAGTAGATTGAATGC